GTGTCTTGGACACAGAGTCAACTTCTATTTATGTGTTGGTGAAGATTCTCTCAGCAGACAGGAAAAAACTCAAAACAACTGCACTGAAGACACCAAAGCCCTGTCTCTTTGACATGATAATTCAGGACTTGAAACATCCTTCTGTTGTAGGGCCAAATTTAAAGAAAGTGAACTCTTGTGCAGACAAAGGTAGAGTTTAAATAATCTTATTCTGTGCCATTGTTTTAGCCATAACCTGTGGTGTGATCTGCAGCCACTATAGGACTCCACTTCTGCAGGTTATTTTGCCTTCTGCAAACTTTCTCCTATGATGCCTCTGTCTTGCCAAGAAAACCAGCAACTCTCTGGGGCTCCACAGAAACAAGCAGAGTGGGACATTTAGTTGCCACATGCAGCCCTTCCCTGGGAGTTTCACTTAAAACAACCAAGACCAGATTTCTCATCTGGAATAGGGACTGATAGACCTGTGGACGTAAGGCCAATTTGTCTGTAACCTTCAGACTTTCGTGGTATCTTTTCGTTTCTGTTATTTGAGCCCTTAGAGTCCCTTCTCTCCTCTTGCAGCCTTTTCCAGTGGAAAGGAAAATGGGAAGTTCATAGGTCTAAGTGCTACTTTCTCATTGGTTTTGGGTCAAACAGGACGAAAAAGAAACAAGGGCTGAGAAATAAAAGGAATAAATGAAACCATGAATGCATGGGAAACAAATTAACTGGATATGGTTTACGTTCTGAAATATTTCCATAATGCTTCTATGTAGTGTGTGTTTATTTTTCTTTGAATAATAATGTTAAAATGTGTCTAATTCAATTACACTCTGCATTCACTGAATGAGTTTTCCTCGGTGAAGAGTTCTCCTACACTACCCCAAGCTACGAATTCCATATGATATTTGAACAGGTCCTTTTAATTGCTGATATTAAGTGTCGATCATTCTGCTGTAAGTTGGCAGCATGGCCAGAGAAACAAATTCCTCTCTCAGATACATCAGACAGTCATTCAATTAACGACCAAAGCTTTATTGACACAGTAGGAATTCATTATGTGAAATATTAAAAAAAAAAAATCAAAAAAAAATCCTTCCACTGCCTAGTTTAAAAAAAAAAAAAAGAGGAGAAAGAGAAAGACTTTTTAAGATGGTGGGTTATCTACATGCAGTTATTAAAATTATTTGAGCAGAATTTGAAGTTATAGTTATGGTGGAAATATTTTTCTCAGAGGTATAAGCAGCATTTCTGTTGAAAAATAAGTTGGACTTTGAAAAGATGAATATAATGTACGCATCCTTATTTCCATAGGCATCGTACATTTTCTTGATTAAAAGCCTTAGATTTTGGGAGTTATGGCTTTAGACTCACTGCATAAAGAGCTTCATGGCTTATTCTGTTAGAGTCTAATTTGAAAGAAAGTTCTTCCTCAAGGGTTTAAGAAGTAATTCATAAAATGGTAAGAATAATAAATATTGTGCCTTAACTCATACACTAGGATAGATAGACAGATTTTGTACACCTGGGTGTAATTTTAGCTAATTCACACAAGAGACAGGCTGGAAGTTTATTGTTTGGAAGGAGAAAAATGGCTTAAATCTTGTATTTGCAAAAATGATTATATTAGCTTAAATGAAAATGCTACTCTATTAATGGCTTCAATAAGCTTTGCATTTGGAAAAGTATTTTAATAAAAAGTTACCTGAAGTTTACTGCAACTTAAAATATGTAAGTGAGGGAAAAGTACTTACTTTGATTTATATGTCTTTTGGAGGTGTAATTATTGGCTTTTTACTCACCTATGTAAAACAATGTACTTTTGTAAATGGATTTCTGGCCACTTTACTCCTTTTTTTTCACATAAAAAGTAAGCACTGTCAATCAAAGAATTTTAAGGTTTATTTCCTCTTTAGAAATGATTGATAGCCTTTTAGATTTACAAGTTGACAAGTTAAAGGGTTCTATTGGTATAATTATGTACTAAATTCACAGTCTTTCAATTTAAATGTCCTTTTAAAACCGCAAGATTATCATACCTGTATTTTGAAAAGTGGGCCAGTCAGTTTGGGTTGGTATACAAATTGCTTCCATTAGCCTTGGGACCTATTTGAATTTAATACAGTTTTTTAAAGTTAGTAGTACTTTCAATAGTACTTTTAAAATTTAGGGTAATTGGAATGCATCTTAAGTACAGTATGTGTTAGCTTGTTTTTAATGTATGGATGTCAAGAACATAAACAGCGAGTTTGTATTCCTTATTGATTCCTTTTTCCAATCAAGGAAAATAAAATGTTCTTTGAATTAGAGCACTGGGAAAAGTGTTGTGAATGGACTTCAAAGGCAGAGACCAGCCTTATTCTCCCAGCAGACAGAGAGAAAACCTTGCATGAAGCTGGTATCTCACCTTGCATGTTAGCTGCCGTGAGTGGTGGGCTGAGAACTGGCTTTTCTGCAATACCAGGAGATTAGAATATAACCTTTTCTTTGGAGTTTTTGCCAGCTACTGATGCAGGAACTGGTGTGTATTCCATGTTGAATTTGGGGTTAAATATTTAAACAAGGCTCTTTCTCTGAGATATGACTAATTGCATTTGACTTGGATTATAAATGACATTAGGAATGGAGGGTTGATATTGTCCAATCTGTGGCTGGAAGTTCAGGCAGTAAAGTTATTTTTTTTTTTTTTTTTTTTTTTTTTTTTTTTTTTAATATACATATCTAAGACCGCAAGGGTTGAATGGATATGGACTAATGAGTGATATTTGACAACTATTGCTTAGGACCCACCCACTCTAGCAAATTGCTGTGCGCAGCCTTTTCCCCACAACTAAAGCAAAGCTTAAGGTATTTGAGGCAGAAAAAGTTTTCAATATCTCTCAGAGGATTCTTGATGCCTTGTGAGATTGGACCATAAAATTAACATTTTTTTTTGGTCATTTAGTTCAGAAAATACTCACAGGAAATACTCTGTGGATTTCAAATGTGTCGAATGTGTGGGAAGATATGAGAAAATGACTGCTATCTCTGGGGGGATTTCAAAACTGGCCTCCATTTATAATATTGCAGAATTTAGTAACTACTTTCCCAAAGGATGTAAGGGGAAAATGGCCATAAACCAGAATGAATTAAAGAAGAAACACATTTAACAGAAGCATGCTAAAATCTTCTAACGTATTTGCAAAAGAAATGTAAATTAGAACAGTGTTTTTTTTTTTTTTTTTTTTTTTAATCTTCTCAGAGTAGTTTTGATAATAAATATAAAGAGCAGTAAATTAATTTACTGTAAAATTTGAAGAAGGCCTAAACTACATGGGTCAGCAGTAGGAAGCCATGTAAGGAAACTCACAGGTAATGAAATCAGATGTTTACAAACACACGTACCATGATATTTTCTGCAAAACTACAGAATAGAGTGGACAGCGTGAGGCCAGGGTGTGAAAGGAAACACTTGGAAAAATAAAAGATAGGTCCAACCATTCAAAAAATTGCTCTTCACTTAAAATGTGGGAATATGGACAAATTGTGCCACACTTGATGAGACTGATGGAGCTGTGTAATTCAGTGAGCCACAAAGAAGTGCTTACACAAAGCGAGACTGGGAGGTACACTGATGCTAAATCTTTTCACATGAATCAGATGATATTATTCAAGCCCCATAATAAAGTTTGTAATAAAACCATCATAATGCAAGGTGCAAAATGTCTTCATAATTTCATAGGCAGAGCTTTTGAAAAAATAATAAAAAAATTAATTGTGATTAATAAGGTAAGGCAAAATATGTTTAAGAAAAACTTTAAAGTGAATCCCCCCCCCCCAACAACAACAACAATAAACTGTTAGGTTTTTCCTTCTCACCAAAAAAACTCTAAAAATATAAAGATTCATATTGGGGGGAAAAAAACATCACTGAACTCCAAAAAAAAAAAAAAAAAAAGCTAACAAATTGCTGTAGAAAGTTTAGTTGTCTCTACTGGCATGGGAGAGTCATGATGTGCTGCAGTTTAGAGATGCTTGAGAATGCTTGACTCTTGTTCTAGTTCACCAAAGCACTTAGGAAATTTTAAGCACATGTTGAAGTCTCACTAACATCTGAGTTTTAAAGTGATCATATGACTGGAAATATAGCTAGAAGGTCATTCAGTGCAGTCCCCTGTAATTACAGGCAATCGTATGAAAAATATAATATGCTCAAATTTGCTTTGCTGAAATCAAATGGGTTTAAGTATGTGCTTACAGATAAGCATGTGCTTAAAGGCTTGGCACAGTCAGAGCTGTGATTAATGCTGAGAGGCCAGCTTTCTCATGAAGATTCAAGTGTTTTACCTCCACCATTTCTCTACTCTTTTACTGGACAAGGACCAGGGAAAGATGAGTCTTTTTAAATTCATTAGGTCTTTTGGAACAGTTTAGCACTGATTGGGTCTGACCTGGGCTGCTGAAATCAGTGGGAATTATGTCATTTACTTCATTTTGATGAGTGAAAAATAAAGCCTCTGCCAAGACAAATGTCCGTAGTTCACAACAAAATTATACATGACCATTGAACATGGAACATATAAAATGTATCATAGAATTTGGAACAAGAGAGACACCCTAGTCATTACTTCTTTTGTCTTCCCATCGCAAAGGATCTTCCTCATAACAAGAAAACAGGAGGAAAAAAGTAACATGAAACACAGGGTGCAAAGCACTTACCAGATGAATTCCATCATGTCTTTCAGAGATCAAAATTGCTTTCTATTTGGAAATATTGTGTGTACACAACCTCCACAAATTTTCTAGCAACCTTGTCATAGGCACACAAGGGGGAAGGTTTGCATTGCTGTTTGAACCGAAGCTTCAGAACCAACCTCAAACAATGTTTGAACCAAGACTTCATAGTCTGTGCTGATTTCAGTAAAAGGAGATTTTGCTGTGATCCTTTACGTGGTTTGCAATGCATTGCCAATTGTTCCAGTGCAACACAGCCTGCTTGCTATGCACTTGTCACATCACCTTGTTTGTTGTTGTTTCAGCTCTGAATGAACCCACCATTGACTATGGTTTCCAAAGGTTACAGAAGGTTATCCCTCGGCACCCTGGTGACCCTGAACGCTTGCCAAAGGTCAGTACGAAGTTTATTGTTTTATTAAATATGGCAAAACTGTTTACTGCATGCTTTTGTTTGAAAGTAACCCTTTTTGAAATTTTCCCTGAAAATGCAAGTCCTGTAAATGTTATGGTCCAAGTTTGCCACCCAAACCAGTTAAGCTGAAGGAGAGGCATGGCCAATGAAGCCCATTCAAGTAACTTTCATTATAGGCTTTATGAGACTTCTCTGACTATCTGAGTCACTGCTGACTCAAAAATCTCCTACCTATCTTAAAATCAAATCTTACTCTGCCTTCTGAAATACCTTATACAGAGCATATTTTTGGTTGGTATTTTAGAACCTGAGTGGCTTACTCATAGCAGAACGATGCTTCTCAGTTTTGGTGTCACAGTAGTACCTGCATAATTTTGAGTTCACCATTGATGAAATCAAGTAATCTGGGTCTTCAGGGAATATGTGTCTAGTGCTGCTGCACTATGTGTTGGTTTAAGATAATAATAGTGTACTGATGTACTTCAGGATCTCTAAAATAATTAGAGCAATATGTAGCAAAATGATTTGGTGTTCATTCACATCAAAATAAGTGGGAGACTTCTTTGTCGATTTCTTTCAAGTAAAAGCTGAGTAAAAAAAGGGTAGTTCATGTGGCTTCTGGTACTTCTGTGTTATACTGCGAACATGCTATCTGGGTCTGCACTCACATCCCTTCTTGCTACCTTGCCGTACTGTGCTTTCACAGCACCTTGCTCAGACAAGTATTTGCAGTGAGTTTTGAGATATGCTGCAGAAGAAGTGGGGGTATTTGAAAAAGTGGGGGTATTTGAAATAGGGTTGCTCATTGTTCATTGCTGCAGACCTGAGCCACAGAACAGTGCTTTAGCTGATGTTTCAGGCCAGACCCCTCAAATAACGCACATCCAGTATAGCCTGCGTGACTGGATAAATCTTATGACCTTCTTTCCGTAGCTTCCCGAGCTGTACGTAGGCTTTTATTGGGGATTCTTGTGAGCTTTGGTTAGTTAACATTTCTAAAGTGCTACTAAGGTGAGAAGAGATCATGAACATTGTAACTACTTTATTTCTTGACGGAAATGAAATTCAAGATGTGATTTTTTCAAAGGCATGTTAAGTCTTCTATCTTTGCTTAGGAAGGCTATAGGCTGTGGTTTGGGGGTTGATGATGTGTTGTCCTTCCCTCTTACCACTACAAAAACATGCTGTCCTGGAGAGTTACATTTTACATTGGCTCCGTTCATCCTCTACAAGCTGTCCCTTTCTCTGACTTTTGGACAGATTTGCAGCAGGACAGCTTTCCTAAGTTGTCAGATTTCCCTCCAGAGGTGCAACCCTTTCCAAAGCAAGAGAGCATCCTTCTGGAGGGGATCTTTCATCTGTATTGTGCTTCTGTCATTAAACAGGCACACAGAGAGGAATTGTTTCTTAGAAAATTAGAGGTCAGCCTTCATTACGTACCAGCTATCTGCAAGACCAAAAGAAATGCTGCAAATTTCCCTGTACCCAGTGTTCCAGCTGACTACTAAATGCTTGTGGCTTCTGTTTCTAAATGAGAAAATTCAAGTAAAATAAGACTGAGCAATTCCAGATTGGGTTATGCACATGGATGCTGAAATGCAGCACTGATTTCCACAGGTATTGGTCTCCCTTTCAGATGCTCATGGCATTGAGGGGGTTGCCCAGCAACACTTTTTTTTTTTTTTTTTTCTTTTCCTGGTATGGGAAAGTAGCCATGAGGCTCTACATCCTCCTTTTTCCCATTTAGACCAAGACTGTTCCCTCACTAATAATCACACATTTCTGCTATCTAGTGTCATAAAACATAAAAACAGGCAGAAGAAAGCTTCATCTAGCTCCATATCCTGACTCCAATATTTAGCAGGTATTATGGATAGTGTATGAGAAAGAAGGTTAATACTGAGTCATCTGTCCCCTCACATACCCTTTTGGCTTAATGTATTTTTTCTGAGTACTTTTTCAAGATAGATTTTCAAGTCTTTAAATCAAGATAAATTGTATTTATAGAGGCAGAAGTGCAACTGATGGCCTGAAAGAAAAAGTTACTGCTTAAAGAACTGAACAAACTTCGTGAAGAAACTAGTATTTCTTTGCAAGGTTAGAGGGATGAAGAGGACCTTTTTTTTTTTTTCTTTCTTTTTTTTTTTTTCTTTTTTTTTTCTTTTTCTTTTTCTCTTTTTTGTCTTTGGATAATTCCTTGTGTGCAAGCTTGAAGGTTGGACCTCAAGTTCAAGACTCATTAATATGCCACACACAGAGGCTGAATGCAGCAGGGGTTGGCACATGTCGACTTCTGCATTTGAGGCACTGATGGTTCAATTCCCAGCATCGCTTGCTGGCTCCAGAATCATAATCAAGGACGCAGCGAGTCTCTGTGCTGGGTGAGCACTGCACAGCGCTCTTCCCCATGTCATTAAACCAGGAAGGGCTTTGGCAGTATTCCACTATAGACAATTCTCAGTGGCTACTTAGAAAAGAGTTGGAAGCCATATGGCTTCCACAGTGGAACCACGGGCAGAGAGGGCAAATGTATGAGAGAGACAGAGAGTAAGACAGCAGAGAGGAGAGCTCAGAGCTTTAAATATCCTTTCTTCCATTTTTCCCATTGTTCTGCCAGTGCATATCATTGCCTTCCGCTCGCTGAAAACCTTGTACTTTATTTGTTAAATAAGTAAAACAAAACACATTTCTATAATTGCTGCTAGGGTTTGTGTCTCTTATTCCATTGAAACATTTCTGATGAGTTAGAGATCTTTTAAGAAACAGAACTGGATATGCTGTTTGTGTTCAAAAGGGCATGCAGTACTTCCCAACAAGACCAACAAGAGGGTTCTGCTGTGTGAGTTATCCTGAAGTCAGGGAGAATTCTTGAGGCCACCAACTGCATGTTAGCACATGCTCTACTACAGAGCTTGGGAGCTAACAGCCATATTTGTGTCAACAGGCATTTCTAAAACCATTGAGGCATTGAATTTCAGAAGTTTGATCTCCGCTAGTTTAGAAATGCAATTTTCATAACCACTCAGTGTCCATGCATGGGATGAACTTTTTGAAATGTTCCAACTATCTGCTGGAAGTAGGCAAAGAAAAAAGCCAGATTTTGATTTTTTTTTTTTCGTCTCTCCCAGTGGCCAAATTTGGCTTCAGTGAGTGGCCAAATTCCTTTGGAGAATGTCCTCCTGTAGTGAGATGATAGTTGAAAAGTAGAGATGTGTTTAAAGTAGAAATGCAATACATAGTTTCTGAAGAAAGAGTGGGAGCTGATGTTGGCAGCTCAGCTATGTCGCTAGCTATGGGCCACAGTCCCATTCCCTTTGTGTACAGAGCAGAAAAAGTAACCAGTTTAGGGTTGTCACTAGCAGATGTGCCTGTCTGTACACACACACACGCACAGATGCATGCACCAAGAGGAGAAACAAGCAGTACAGGGGTGGTGGGATTAGCACCCAAAGCTTGGAGTGAGATCAAGTACCAGGAGTGTGCTGGGTAGTATAGTCTTTCCTTTCTAATACAGACAGGAGGCAGATCAGAGGAAACAAGAGATCTCTTGGGAGAAGTGAAAAGAAAAACCATGATGCTAATGTTAAGAAATTGTATCGTTGTCCTGGAGGAGCAGTCTGCAGAAAGGCTGCCTGTGGAGCTGGGGAGAAAGTCTGCACGTGTGCGTGCGCATTCTCCCAGTCTCCTGCTTTTGCATATGAGCACACAAAAACACATGCATTGTTGGTTCCTGTGTACATAACTGCAGTGGAAATCACTGAAGAGTTCAGATCACAACAACATGTTGAATCTATTGAGGTTCATTTATGTAACCATCCTACAATCCTTAAAATAAATCCCTGGCAGATACAATGAGATTCTGTAATTTTGTTAGAACTCCACAGCTACAGCCGTAAAACAGTTTCAACTGTGAGCTAGATTTGAAACACATCCATCCTAAATGATTTAATAACAACGATTCCTCTTTATATGCAATTTCCTAGAATTTATTTGCCATTTTCACCACTCTTACAACTCATCACTTTTATTTAAATTAAGCTCATGATTGCTCACTCTGTGTTGGAGAAGCAAGTCAGAGCATCGACCCCCTCCATGATCTGACATCCTCTCCCTCCCAGTCTGCTGCTTAAATGCGCTCTCTGAGAGACCCCTCATCCTTCCTGAAAGGGACCTTTAGTTCTGGTTTCCCTTCATGTAGATGAAAGTGGAGCCTCTGTTTCTAGTACACAGGGGCCTCCCCGCTGAGCAGAGAGCACACGCAACCAGGCTCCACCTTCCCTTCAGCTCCTTTCCTCTGGTCAGTCATTAGACCCCAAGACATACCCCACCTCCTCATTAGGACACTAATAGAAGACAGGTGGTTATTAGGAACCAGTGACTGCCAAATACAGTTGTCTTTTTCCCCCATGAAATCCCAGAGATTTGCCCTTTATCCACTGTGACATGAGAATTGTTTATATTACAAACAGAGGTTGTCTCTGAACGTGGGTGGGTTGGCCTAGGCTTGCTGGCTGAGGTTAAAATAGCAATGAAGCCAAAGCAACTTAGGTTTGCTTCTTCAGACAGACCTGGTGGAAATTCCTGAATGGATCTCCGTCTGCTCACCCAAGATACTGTGTTTTCATGCTATTTTAACCTAAGTTAGTCATATGTGTATGTTTTCCACCCAGTGTAACAAAGGGGTTCATAGAGAACTTGTATAATGAGTATAGGCAGGAAGAGGAGGCATGTGAAGAGGAGCTGATGGAGTTCATCTTTATAGCAAGGAAAGCATCAGATGTGCTTGGTGGTTTTTATGCTGTACTGTAAAATTTTTAGGAATGGGAGACAAGATTTAAGATTGATACTGAATCCCTCACAGTTGGATTTTTTTTTTTTTTTTTTCATTTATTAACAGTTTGGGCAGTTAGTTGTTTGAAAGGCTTGTTTGGTTTTGATTTTCAATTTATCCTATTGAAAATATTCAGTTTTCAAAGTTT